AGAATAACGTGATGGAGCAGAACCTTGATCGGGGCTGGAGAGATAACACCATGGTCAGCACAATGCCTTGCATGCAGCTGACCTGGGTTCAATATCCAGCACTGCAAATGGTTCCCCAAGCCCTCTCAGGTGTGAGTGAATCGCCTGCTTCTGTGGATGTGTTGAGAAAAGTCAACAGAGGCAGCAGGCAAGTCAGTAAAAGTCAGGCAAGTCAGGCAAGCTGGGTAAAATCAGCTGTGTCCTTTGCAAGGAAGGGGAAAAGCAGAAAGAGAAAATAAATTGGGTTGAGGGGTGGATGGCAGGCAAGCACACTTGGTGATGCTCAGGGGTTACTCCTGACTGCATCCAAGAATCATTCCTGTCATGCTCTGGGGACCATATGGGACTCTGGGGATCAAACCAAAGTTAGCCAAATACAAGCCCTGCACTATCTCTCTGGCCCCAGAAAGAGAAAGTGTCTTAAAAGGAAACTAGGGTTCAGGTGAAAGAAACCCAAGCTTGTTTCTAATTGTCCTCCTGTTCCTGACTCTGATTCCTATCCTCTGGAATGTCTCAACTATGCACCCCTCTTTCTTTTCCAGTTTTCCCACTCTGCAGATTGCATGGGAAGGCTGTTGATTTTTGTTGCTGATATGCACAAGGTTCCAGAGGAGTGGGGAGCCAAAGTCCCAGGAATTAATAAATTTGTCCAGCTGCTGAGGAAGGGAATCAGCTCATGTTTGACTCCTGGCCTAGGGCACCCCTACACTAAGCTGTCAAGCATGATGGATAGTGCCTTGATAACTTACAGAGACCCCTGAGTCAACTCAACTGATTTTTCTTTCAGTTTATTTTGGGGGTCACACCTGGCAATTCTCAGGTTACTTCTGGCTCTGTACTCAGTAATCTCTCCTGATTCAGTGCTCAAGGGACCATATGGGATGCCAGGAACCAATCCTGGTTGGCCATGTGCGAGCAAATATCCATCCCACTGTACTATCATTCCAGCCCCTCAAATCAACCATTTTTTTCTCAGCCCTGACACTGAGTGGCCTTCAGCAAACCACTTGGCCTCAGTAGCAGCACAATGAAGCTGAAGAGTCTGGCAGGGTGTTGTTGGGCAAATTGAAAGAAAGCAATGCCTGTAAACGGCCCAGAACACAGAACAGGAGACTTTCATTCATGGTCAGCTCTGATCGATTTGAATCATTAGCCTTGCTGCACATTCTCACTAACTGCCCAAATCTCGGAATCTAGCAGCAAGACAAAGCCTGTATCTGTGCTTTTTCCTTTATCCTGTTCACCTTATCAGAAAATCTGCCCCCAGCACCCCTAGATTCCTAGTCTCAGACTCCCTATTCCCATGTATGTGGAGCTCCCCCCACACTGATAAGAAATTCTCAGGTACCCACAGGGCATCCAGGAACCCAATCCGATTGAGTTCCATTCCTCCCAAGACAGTGCGGAGAGGGTCCAGTCCGCCGGCTGTCACTGTGCTTCTACCCGGTTCGAAGGTCCCCACAACCCCTCCTCTCCTCAGCCTGCAGGCGGCAGTCCTAGCCCAGATGGCTCCCCAGGCTTTTGATCAACTGGCTGGAGAGCAGAAGCTCCCAAACGTCCCTCCTCGGGTTTCGCCTCCTTTGCCCACCAGCGACTCAGGGTTTCGTAGGCTGATTCTTCAAGGATCAGGAAAAGTCAGGTGGAGGGAAAGCAGAGGGTGAGGCATGGAGAAAGGGCTTCCAGATCCCTTACGAGCCCCACTTTCCCAACACCTCCCACGTCTCTGCTTTTGGGGTTTTATAAAGACCTTTTTATTCCTTTGCAGGACTGATTAAGCCACTGCCCTTTGACAAGTGAATTTAATCAGCAGGTCCTTCCCCTCTTCCCAGAATTCTGAGTGTCTTGGACATTTCTTTTTTATTATTTATTTATTTATTTGCTTTTTGGGCCACACCCAGTGATGCACAGGGGTTACTCCTGGCTCTGCACTCAGGAATTATTCCTGGCGGTGTTTGGAGGACCATATGGGATGCTGGGGATTGAACCCGGGTAGGCCGTGTGCAAGGCAAACGCCCTGCCTGCTGTCCTATCACTCCAGCCCTGTGTCTTGGACATTTCAACCCTCCACTCACATCACTGATCCTCCAAGAAACAAATACCCATTCTTAGAGGCTTCCCAACATATAGCCGATGTTTTTGTTACTCTCTGCACTTAGGGAATACCCAGGGCTTGGGGAGCTTCGAGTCAGGAACATGAGAAAAGTTCAGAGGATTTTCTCAGCTGCTGTGTTGTCACTCAGTATGGAAGTGTGGAGTTCTTCTAATATGCCTTGCTTGTTGCTGGGGTCTAGGCAAGCCTGAAAGACCCAGGAAGATCCACCCCTAAATGTCTACTAAGTAGGGTTCAAGGGATGCAAGCAACCTCCACATTTTGTTTTCTCCTCTCTGAGGCACCCAGCAGGTGGGCCCACTGTGCCTCTCTCCCCATTTGACAGCCGGGCTGGCAGCATGAAGCCCTTGCCTGTACCTTGGTGCGGGTGATGTCCTCTGCTCTCCACACTACAGACTGTCCCAGACTCATTCCTTCTCTGATTGATTCATCAGGGCAGGGTCATGATGGGGGGCTCAGGACTCTTGGGATATGTGCCCACTTCTGCAAGCTCTCCTCTCAGCAGCAGTGCAGCCTGAGTGCCAAGCATCTGTTGCTCCCTGAAGATCTCACTCGTGGAATCTTTGGAAAGTCTCACTTACACCCATCCCCTGACTTTTCATATGGAAAAACCACGGGCCAAAGGTTTGACTCACAGCACAGGGTGGGAACCAGCATCATTTTTGACTTGTGACTCCAACTTCTAGAGAATTGGTTGAGAACTTTAGGTTGGAATTAGCTAGAATCCCATACTGAGTCAAAGATCCAGCCTCTTGCCAAAATCATCAAACTCCATGGTGTTAGGTAAGCGGCAGATCTCCTAAAGTTCCCCAGCCATTTCAGATGTGGATTCTGTTGAAAGTTACAGGCCTTCCAGCCCAGCGCCACATGGCCAGGCCTCAGGTCAAGAACTTTAAGCTGTTATTAGATAACTCATCTCAGGGTTCCCCTTTTCATTTCTGACACTCTGAACACCAGGAGGAATTTCTTCGAGCATTCGCGAGGAGTTGCTGAGATTTACCAGATATTATAAATGTACGTGAATAGTATGCTCACTGAAGTTGAAATAAAGTGCTCCAACAAAAATGGGAAAACACAATTGAAATTCCCCATCTACTATCTTAAGTGTGTTTGTTAATGATAAAGGTGAGTATGGAAGGTAACTGAAGACGGGACTTTTTGCTGTGGGCCACTCCTAGCTTAGAGCTGGGCAAGGGAGGAAGTGCAATCAACTGGCCAGAGAGCAAAAACTCCCAAACTCCCCTCCTCAGCTTTCCCTCCTTTACTCACCAGAGACTCAGTTTTTCATAGGCTAATTCTTCGAGGACTCAGGAAAAGCAGAGGGTGAGGCGTGGAGAAAGAGCTTCCAGACCTCTCACGCGCACCACTCTCCCAGCCCCTCCCATGTCCTGGGAGGGTTGGGACTACTTTCAGCTTAGGGCTCAGGTGCTATTCCTGTGACGTTGAACACCGACAATCTAAACTGGTCCTCCTGAATGCAGAGCACTCATGCCAGTCCTTTGAATCATCTCCCAGTCCCAAGATTGGCCTAATTTTTCACAACTAGCATAGAATATCCAAATTTTTTAGAGGAATTGCAATTATTTGTAATTTAAAATAATCCTACCATTTCCTCTTTTTTCGTTGTTGATTTTTTTGGGGGAGCCACACCTAGTGGTGCTCAGGGCTTACTCCTGGGTCTACACGAGGGATCACTCTTGACAGGGATTGGAGGACCATGTAGAGTAGCAGGGATCAGCTATGTGCAACACTCTACCCACTGTACTATCATTACAGCCCCTGTTTTCTCATTTTTATATATACAGCAGATTGAACCCTGCTTCTTTCTATGAGAAGACCCCACCTCCTTCTTTCTTTCTTCCTTCCTTTCTTTCTTTCTTTCTTTCTCTCTCTCTTTCTTTCTTTCTTTTGGTTGGGGGGGATGCCTGGGATCAAACTCTGGTTAGCCATGTGCAAGGCAATCCCTTATCCACTGTGCTATCTCTTTAATCCAGAACCTACCACTTCAGTGGTGGTACTGATACTATAACTGTTTATCGAAGCAATATATGTTAACACTGTACATTACCTAAACTAGAACTAAAAGGTTAAAAAAAACAAAAAGAAAATAACCCAAACACTCCGTATGCATTCAGTCCAATTATTCATGTATAGTTTTGAATGTGTGATTTTGAATTTTTAACAGAACTTGATTTCTAAAAAAATAATGACAAGTTGGATCAGTTTGTTGAGATTCTTTCTTGAAATTTTCTGGGTCATGGGATCTCTTGCAAATCCACCGAAAACGTTGGTTCTTCCTCAGAGAAAGGCACATTCTTACACAAAAGTAATTTAGTGCGAATTTTCTGGATTCCCTAAACCCCCTTCCACCTCCTGTCAGCTCCGCATTTGAGCCCAAAAGTCTTGTGCGTGTCACCATACCCTTGGGGCCTCATTCGGTGGTCTGAAAAGGGGTGGGTCACAGTGTGTTCGCAGCCTGTAGTGCTTGCCTATTGCGGGGTGGGGGTGGGGGGAGGGGAAGAGACACCCAGGGCGCAGGGGCAGTGGTCCTAGGTTGGCACGTGCCAGGGGGCATGGCTCCTGAGCCTGCAGGCCTGGAGCGCACGTCCTCACCGACAGTTGCTCTCTGCACCGTTTCCTAAGCGTTTCCTCAACGGGGTCAGAGCAGGAAGTTCAGGAAGTCCGGCCCTGGCCGTGCAGGGCTACCTCGGACCAGCACACTGTGACTGCACACGCCCAGTCACAGACGACCCAGGAGGGGAGGCCAGGGCACTGGAGGCGCCTGCCCGACCGGCTGCGCAGCGACCCGGCAGCCCGCCCGCCTGGCTAGGAGCACCGTCCTCCCAGGCGCGGGGGAAGGGGTGGCAGGATCACTTTCGGTTTTGTTTCTCTAGAAGGAAACACAGCAGAAGACTCCGGGGAGCTGGCCATGGAGGGAGACTGGCAAGAGTGCAGGAACTGGTAAGGTGACGCTTCGCTTTCCTGGGGGCGGGGGGCGGAGGGGGGCTCCCTGGGCTGCTTGAAGGGCTCAGACAGGCCAGTGCTGCGTCTGAGATGAGGAAGGAGGGTGCAGGTGCTTGTCTGGGGGGTGGGCGGGGGGAGAGAGTTCTGGGTGAAAGGACACTGACTACCTGTCTAACTGTCCCTGTCCCGAGACAGCTTAGACTTCCTGGTAAATCACTAGGTCAGTTATCATCCTTATCACCCTTGATATCATCCTTATCAGACCCCGGGTGTGAATCCGATGTCGTCACACTCCTGCCAGACTGTCTCATGCCATTCCCACTCCTGCCTATGGGACCATGGGGATGAGGGACGGTGGGAGTAGCTGAGGACGACAGCGTAGTGTGGGGCAGGCGTTGGCTCTTACTGGGGGGCTATCCAGGGGCTCTGCAATGTGTTCCCTAGGTGGGGAGCTGGGAGGATCCTGGTCAGAGAGCTGAGCTCCTGCTGGACCTTTTCGGCTCTCGGCTGTCTCGGGAAGAGCTTGAGGGGTAGAAGCCACAGGGGGAAGAATAAACGGAAGAAGCAGCTGCTTCGGTGCCACACAGTTGCCCTGTGCCTAAGCTGAGCACGTGTTCAAGGCCAGAGAATGAGGCCTGGGCACTGCCCTGGGACATGTACCAGGCCCCATCCTAGGGCAACAGCCCTTGTTCCCAGTGGCCTGGACTGGCACAGCTGGTTCCTGGGAAGGTCCTCATTTTCTGGTGGTCAGGAGGGTTAAAACGCAGCCTGACCAACCCTTAGATGTCTCTGGGCTCTCTAGGAAGGGCCTCTGTGTGCTGCCAGGTGTGGGGGGGAGCGGGAATGTATGGACGCCTCAATGCCGGGCACTGCCCTTAGGAATCCGTGCATGGTCAGGCTGGCCTCCCCTCTGGCTGTGAGCCAAGAAGTGACTCACTTGAAAAGAATGAAGAAAATATTTGGAAGAATTTGGTATTTGTTACCCTAAGCTTAAAAAATAGCAAGACAGTTTACCATGTCACAGAGAATGTTAATGCATTTGTGGCAAGTTTGAGAAACATGCTGTAGACATGTCTGATACATGTCTATTGTGAAATCAGCAGCAGTCAGGCTCGTGGGCCCTCCAGCTCCAGTGCCTCCTTGCTGAACTGGTCCTGGTGAGGGTTTCTAGAGTTCCCAGGTGAAAGTGCTCAGGTACCCACAGGGTGCCACTGACTGATGCGAAGTCTAGGCATGAGCTCTACTACTTGGGTTATCTCCCTGGCCCCTGGCCCATATCCCAATTGGGGTGAAGGTTCCCAATTGGTGTTTAGGGAGCCCCTTCCAGGGATTCTTGGCCAACAGGGCTGGCAGTTCAATGCAATCGTTGCAGCTCAAGCCCTGCAGTGCCAGGGGTTGCCCGAAACACCCTAGTAGTACTCAGAGCCCACAGCTTTCCCCAGCGATGCTTGTTGTACCCAAGTTTCAGATCCCCAATTGTGGAGAGACCCAGTTCCACACACGATAATGCAAAAGCAAAGGAACTTTATTGCTAGCTCGACCTAAGGTCCAAGTCTCATCCAATACAGTGGAGTGTTAACAAGGTCCCCGACTCCAAATCACAAGCAGTTTATATGGGGTTCAGTTAAGAAGCAGTTTATATACTGGTCTATTTTCAGTATTGCCCTATTGCAACAGTGGTCAGCAATTAGACAGCAGGTACCAGTAACAGTTTGGGGTTCTTCCCAAGAAGGGTACGGCAACCCCTCATGATGGGCCAGATCCAACTGCCCACTCTCTTATCTAGGTGAATCACTCAACTTGGAGTTTACCAGAAACTGCCGTCCTGCTCTGGGGAAACAGAAACTGAGGCCTAATGTTAGCCGAGACTTAGTTGAGACTTAATGTTAGCTACAGCTTGTCATGGCTGCTGAGGAAGCTGCTTTGGGGCCTCACATACTCAAGGGACCATGTGGCACTGAGGATCAAGGCTGAGTTGACCACATACAAAGCAAGCACATTAACCCTTGTCCTACCTCTCTGGCCAGGGATATCTTATTTCTAGAGCTTGAGGCCTCAAAATATTTAATTCAGCTGCCCCATGTGTGAACATGACCCATGTTTTGCACCAGAAAATAAGTCAATTTTCCTTCCCCCAATCCTACAGCAAAAGACGTGTGGCCTCTGCCAACCTGGCCCTCCACGAGGCCCACTGTTTGCGGTTCCTGGTCCTCTGTCCAGAGTGCAAGGAACCCCAGCCCCAGGAGAAGATGGAAGCACACATTGAGAGCAAGCACCGGCAGGTGAGGTGCCACAGGAGAGGGATGGAGCGGTCCCCTGCAGCCCTGAGTCTGACCCACAATGCAACTCACTGGGCTGCTGTGGGGACCCCTTTACCACCGCTGCCTCCACCATCTGTGAACTGGAAATTGAGTTTTGTTCCTCACAATGACCAGCTTCCCCCTTTTCCAAGGGGGAAAGCACAGGGATTCCAGCAAGGCGAGACTGCGGGGAGAGGGGGCAGGGAGGGTTTCCTATATCTGAAAGGCTGGAAATGCTTCTAAGATTTGCGATGAAGGGGCTGAGAGAGGGAGAGTGCCACAAAGCAAAGTCAATATGAGTCAAGGCTGACTCTTCTTCCTGCCTTTGCCTTTGCGTCCATCCTGCCTGGAGATCCTCAGGCTCATTTCAACTCAGTGGGTCCCACGAACACTTTTCCGCTTACTGAGTTGGCTGGGGCCATGTCCAAGGAGGTCACCATCCTAAGCTCTCCCCTTCAAGAGCTTCTATGGCAATCATGAGCCCAAGATGGCAGGTGAGGTGGGAGGCATGGTTCTGTGCTCAGGTGGAGGCAGAAGTCGTGGCCCCCGCAGGGGAGAGTCACCGGCTCCCCCTACTGTTTTGCAGCCAAGCTGGGTGGAGAGGGAGGTGAACGTGGGGGAACTCACCTTACTAAAAGCCTGGCCTCTCTCTTCTCCAAAAGAGGCATGGGGAACAGCAATCTAGCCCACCTGAGGTCACGGCTCCTCTTGTCCTCAGTTGCTGGTCAGAAGAACTGCTGTGGTGGTATCTCCCAAGATAGTCCCTTCACAGTGACCCTTTTGGTTGGTGACCATCCCATCTCACCTGCTTCCCCTCAGCTCGCTGAATGCCAGGAGCATGTTGTATGTCAGTTCTGTGAGCTAGCTCTGAGCCTGAACAAACTGGAGACCCATGAGCGCCACTGTGGCAACCAGATGGAGCAGTGCCTGGGATGCGGCTGGAACATCCCACTCCGTGGCCTGGTCCAGCACCTCCAAGTGTGTCAGAGTGAATGGGTTCCACCCGGGAAAGGTGAGCAGCCCCAGCAGGGAAATAAAGGAGAAGCTTTGGGAGAGTGTACTCTGTGGGATGCAGTGCAAGAAAGGATCCTGGGGGCTCAGAGTCATCAGTCTCCTTATTCTGTTTCTAGCCATTATCATGATGCCTCTGGTGTGTCTGCTGTGCTCCTTGAAAACTGTAGATGGACAGAGCAATAGTACGGCGGGTAGGGTACTTGTCTCGGGCCCCACCAGGAGTGATCCCTGAGCATAGAGCCAGGAGTAAGCACTGAGCACCGCTGGGTATGACCCCTCTCTCCTCACAAAACTGGTCTAGGGATACTATGGGGCCACGGGTAGGGGCAAAATCCCTTTTCCCCCCACACAAACACATGTGCATGCACAGAACAACCTCCATGGAAGGCTGCTTTAATCTCTGCCAGCATAGGCTCAGCCTGGCAGAGACACAACTGCATCATCGTTTCATAGAGGTAAAACAAGGACTTAATGGAAGTAGAAATAAGACTCGAGTTATTGACACCAAATCAGGAGCCTTGTTCACCATCCTATGGACACTGAACTTTTTACATGTATGTTGGTTCCCTGGTGCCCTTTCATGGTCTCACGACCTGGTTACCTCTTAATGAGGGGGCATTTACAGAAGACATGGACCATCTGCGTGGCAGATCTGTTAACTTCGTGGGTTGTTTTAATAATGTGGTTACATGTGGAGAAAGCCTAAAACCCTTTGAACAGTAAATATCTCTTGATAAGTAATCTACCTAAGATCCAAGCCAGCCAAGGTCATGTACATTTCCTTCAAATCCAGCATAGCCTATCTTCAACACACCCCACACCACATCAGCACAATATAATTTCAACAAGACAAGGCAACACAGCACAACTTCCACATATTTAACAATGATGTGGACTATCCCCCCTTGTGGATCACTGAGCAGGGAAATTCATGAAATGAAATTAATTGGATAGCATCCGCCTATAATTCCTTTCATTGCCTTAGAAACCAGTCTTACTCCAGGCCATGTCTCTTCATCAGAATCAAAGGATGCTTCAGTGACCCTGAAGAAGAGAATATGGGTGACTGGAATGAGAATTGCCCAGGCAGAATGGTCACAATTAGGCAGGCCCAGGACTGTGTCACACTGCAGGACATGCACAACTGTTGTGGGAAAGTTGGGCAAGTGATTGTCAAGAGCAATTATTTGTGCTGTGATTTCTGTGCTTCTTTAGGGAAGAGAATTTCAGCTTCTGAGAAGAAAATTCACTGTCATCATTGCAATCAAATGATCCCAGGGAATGAGTATTCTCGCCATATGGTGAGTTGGAATTGATCATTTTCTAATGATGCCCATATAGTCCATATCCAAAAAAGTGAGAAGGGGCTGGAGCAATAGCACAGCAGATAGGGCATTTGCTTTGCACGCAGCCAACCTGGGTTCGATTCCCAGTATCCCATATTGTCTCTCGAGCACTTCCAGGAGTGATTCCTGATTGCAGAGCCAGGAGTAACCCCAAGCATTGCCGGGCGTGACCCAAAAAGCCAAAAAAAAAAGTGAGAAATGAAAGGCAAATTCTGGACTCAATTTATATCATGCAGCTATTAAAGCCTTCCAAATTATTTTTTGTCTATTCAAAAAGGGATATTAGTGAATTGTTGGAAGCTGATCTATCATCATTGGTCTCCATTTGTGCCAGTCTTTCATGGAGCTCAACCCACCCCACCCCTTCCCCACTCCAACTATAACTGATCCTCTCTGATCATCTCCCACAATCAGGGCCTGAACATTGCATGGAACTTGCCTTATTACTTTCTGTCCCCTCTGGCAGCCTTTTCTATTAGACCATACGCTTTGAATGACGTGCTCCGTCTTCCCACAGTGGAAAGTGATACCACGGCTGGCTCTGAAACAAGAATGCAATAGAAGTACAGTGATAGGATGTGACTATTTTTTTTCCTAGAAACACTCAGTTTCTTTCCTCCATAGCTCTTCACCCAGTTTTTCACCCATCCTAACTTTTGGACTGACCCAAAACAAACTACTCTCATTAAAATCACCAATGACCTTCCTCTTGCTAAATTCAATAGTATGTTCTTTGTCTTCAATTTAGGAGGAATATTTGCTATGGTTCGACCACTCCCTTTTCTTCAATTCACTTTCTTACCTTCTGTAATATCATACTCTCTTGGTTTTCCATCACCTTATTAATTTTTCCTCCTCTTGCCCCTCAGTTTCTTAATTGGAAGGGACCACTAAAGATCAGCCTCTATATTAGCCTAGCTGTACTTCTGCCAAAACCCAGTGTTAGGGCTTTGGTTTTGTCTGGTTGGTTTGCTTTTAGTTTTTGGTGGTTTATATAGGCAGACTCTCCAAAATTTATATCTTGTTTTCAACTTTTATTTTAATCTCCAGTTTTCTATTTCACTGCATGATCAGCATCTTCAGTCCTTTCCTAAGGGGAGGCTCATACCTGACAGTGCTCAGGGTTTATGCCTGGCTCTGTGCTCAAGGGTCACTCCTGGTAGTGCTTAGCAGACCACATGTGGTACTGGGAATCAAATTGGGGCAGGCCTTATACAAGGCAAGCACCTTACCCACACCATACCATCTCTCGGTTTCACTCCTTAATATTTTTAAACTACTATTGAAAATTATAACCTCATACCCAAAGTCTTTTCTCCCCTTAATTGCTATTTTATTCTCACAATATATATTAATTCTAACATAGTTTGGTGGTGTTTTTGTTTGGTTGGTTGGTTTGGTTTTTGGGTCACACCCAGATATTCTCAGGGCTTACTCCTGGCTCTATGCTCAAGGATCATTCCTGGTGGGCTCAGGGGACTGTATGGGGTGCTGGGGACTGAATCCAGGTCAACCATACAAAACAAGTGCCTTACCTGCTATATACTGTCTCTTTGGTCTCCATAGCTAATTATTTTTATGGCTTTTGCTAATCATCTCCTACTACTATAGGTAAAATGCGGTCCCCAGTACTCTTTTTTTGGGTTAATTGCTTCTCAGACACAAATGCTCTACTTTCTAGTGATTTAGGCTGGTTTTCCCCCCTAGTATTTAGCTTCTATTTCAATAGTAACTTTTGGATGACAGTTTTTTGTCATATTTAGATAAAGAGTTACTAACTCATAGGACTACAGAATGTGGATTTTGCTTAACACCACCTACCCTACACACACCTCCAGGTACTTTCCTTCCACTCTCCAAATTTATTAAATTCACCCATTCTGATTAAATCAATATTCACTATTATGTTGTGTGACAATATAAATATAAATGGCTATGATGCACAAACTATAATTACATTTGCTTCTATAGCTTTTTGTTTTCCCTGGAGTTAATAATTGTTTCTATTTTCTGTTTGCTCATTTTCTAGGTGCCTATCCTTGAGTTGTACCTAATTCTGTCTGCCAAACCTTAAAACTTCCCCTCAAATACCAATCAAATACATTGGCTATTCCATTCACTCCATTTAGGGCCTATATTGTTCCTCAGGCCAGATGAGTACTTCTGGATTTTCTTCCATTCTCTCTGGTTCTATTCCCACAGTCTGTTTTCTGGTTAACTCTTTTGCCTAAAAGGCTAAAACTATAGGCTTTGGATAGATTAGATGCCTATGTAATCTACTCACTATGATTATTTGTGTTGATATTATGAAACTCAAAGAAGCTGCTCTAAAGAGAAAAAGTAGATCTATATAATAAATATCTATGCATTATTAATCACCCAGATACATAAATAATTTAAAGGTTTTCACATTTGTTTCAGTTGTCACCCCAGCCCTTCTTTTTTTGATAAGATTAAAAATAAGATAGTTTTTTTGTTGTTTGATTTTGGTTTTTGGGCTACACCTGATGTTGCTCAGGGGTTTCTCCTGGCTTTTTGCTCAGGAATCACTCCTGGCAGTGCTTACGGGACCATCTAATTATACCAGGGAGCGAACCTGGATAGGTCATATGCAAATATGCAAGGCAAGCGTCTTACTCCACTCTACTATCTCTCTGGCCCTGTAAACGGGATCATTTTATTTTTTCTCTCTTCTGATTCATTATTTAATTATAGAAATCCAGCAGATTTTATTTTATTTTACTTTATTTTTTGGCTTTGGAGTCACACTGAGTAAACTTCTGGCTCTGTGCTCAGGGATCACTCCCAGTGGGCTTGGGAAACCATATAAACTGCCAGGGATCAAACTAAGATTGGCTACATGCAAGGCAAATGCTCTACCCGCTGTAATATCTCTCTAGCCTGAAATCCAACAGATCTTAGGGGACAGAGAGATCATACAGGTTGTTTGCCTTGTGTGCAGTTGTTCCTAAGTTGAGACCCAGCACTGCATAGTCTACCCAAGCACCCCTTGGAGTGACCCTGGGCACCAACACTGGGTATGACCAACCCCACTCCTATTCAAAGAAAAGCAACACATTTTATATGTGGGTTTTGTAGCTTTCAACAAGTTTTGTTTATTTTCTTTTTCCATTTCTCATAATTTGGTGATTCTAAATTCTTTCTATTCTTTTAGCAGTTGCTCAACATTTTCATATGAATAAAGTTTTAAAACAGTCATTCTCTCCCCTCCTTACAAACCATATGTGGATTTATGAATGTTAAATTTGACCCTCTGTTATCACCTTATTGTAGGATAACATTGGTTTGTCCTTTCTGCATTGCCACAGGGAGCTTAGGTTAATTGGGTTACTCCCATCATAGTGCTCCCATTCATCTGTGTTTATTTGTAAGCTCTTTCTTTGTGCTCTGCTTCCCCAACTGGTCAATCACCTTTATCTCCTAATCAGACTCTGTTAACTTGTAAATATTGCTTTTCTCTTCTCCTTAAGTCCTTTGCATAGTTAATTCAGAACAATGTCCTTTTTGTATAGACACAGGAAGACAGTCAATGCTGTGCTTTTGTAACTTGGGAGATAATTGACTCTGAATGATATTCACTCCTGGGCATCTGTTCTCTTGACTTAAGCCTCAGTTGCCTTTACTTCCTACCACCCCAAAAGCAGAGTCCCAATGATGAGCTGGCTGGACCCAGGGCAAGCTGTGAGCTACCCTGGCATCAAAATGGGCCAGGCCAAAGTGCCATAATACTTAACTATAAGTTAAGAGCATGGTCATGGGAAAATTCTGTCATGATCCCAAAAGTAACACCTAGATTAGGACCCTACTAAGGTTAGGAAAGATTAATCTGTCCTGAGCACTGTAGTCTGAGATCTATAATGAGATGTCCACAGGAGAGCCACCCTACAAGCTTAATTTATCTCTTACTGTGTCCATACAAAATAACTAATATTAAGAAGTAGAATTAAGATATTAATTAAGTTATTGGACTAAGGAGAGGAGGAACACCCCTAAGTGGTATTTTGCCCTGAGAGGAAAAAGGGCTTTCATATGTTAATTGTGGAGTATGGTGGCTACCCCCAGTGTGGGGAGTTGGGGAGAGACTAGAGAGAGCCCAGGCTGCGAGATAGAGCATGGAGAGATGAGCAGAAGAGACAGAAGGAGATGGGAATGAGGAGCAGTGTGAGACTAGAATGAGGTGCTCAGTGAGACTGGAACAGGCACAGAGGAGGATGGAATAAATGGCAACTGATCACCAACCAGCCTGGCTCTTGTTTCCTCATTTGTCCGCCCATGGCATCGGCCGTCCCAGGTGGGTGAGTGGCCCCGAATGCAGGCAGTGAGAGAGAGAGCCGCTAGGGGCTTCCTAGCCATGCAGTGATTACACACCTTATAAGTGAATGCTTCCAGAATTTAGTTCTATTTTACTGTCACAATACTTCTCTTTGGTCATTGCTATTGTTCTATGCCTACTTGTATACATTTACCTTTTTACCCTTTTCTTTGTTGTCATCATTTCTTGAATTTCCAGGTTTTCTTTCAGATTAAGATTTTTCTCTTCCTGAAACACTTCTGCAAGAACCTGTGAGTTGAAAATCTTTTGGCTGAAAATGTAACCCTACCCCTTTGTTCTTTTTTTTTCCCATTTTTTATAATATTATTTATTGAATCATCGTGAGAGCAGTTACAAAGCTTTCGGGTCTAAGTCTTGGTCATACAATGAAACACCCGTACCTTCACAAGTGCTCATTCTCCACCCCCAACAACCCCAGTATACCCCCATCCCACACCCTCCCCCCACCTGTGGGGCAGATGATTTCCACATTACTCTCTCTCTACTTTGATCACATTCGATATTTTGACACCAGACCCACCATTATTATTTGAGATTTTACCCCAACACTCAGATCTGCTGAAAAGGCAACAGTAGACAATTTGTTTCTATTGCTGGTTATGAATAACATATGATGTCGCAGGGCTGCAGTAGTGGCCGCGCGATTTTGAAATTCCAAAATTTTAACACTTAAATCTGGGAGCGATAGCTCAGCGGGTAGGGCGTCTGCCTTGCACGCAGCCACCATGGCCGACCGGAGTTCGATTCCTCCGCCCCTCTCGGAGAGCCCAGCAAGCTACCGAGAGTGTTCGATATGCCAGACACAGTAACAACAAAGACTCCAATGGAGACGTTACTGGGCCCACTCGAGCAAATCGATGATCAACGGGAGGGCCTTTACTTTGCTTTACTTTACTTTACTTTAAATCTGGAGGGATTTCTGCCAAAACCTGCTGGGTTCTGAGATTTGCTCCTGAGTCTCTGGGATCATCCCCTTTGTTCTTAAATGTTAGTTTAGCTGGGCATCATTTTTTTTCAAAATACAAACATAGATTTTATTAAATGCTGTGCAATCCCACAATGAAGATCTTGCATTACAAAACAGTTTCCATGTAACTGCGATTTAAGAGACTGGAATGGCACTCAGATAACAGATAACAGAGGTGAAATACTTGGTCAGTTAGGGCAGACAAGCCCTCTCTGGCCAGAGAGGAAGCAACTGTGCTCCTGAACATAAAGCCAGGCAGTGAGGGAGCTTTCGGGAGTTGGGGGGAGACTGCAGGTCCCCCTCAGGAGCTGCAGAGGAAGGGATAACAGTGCAGAATTTGGTTTACTTTCCCAGCTTTTCTATTTTGTGCTTTAAAACGCCTGGAGATTTAAGTCTTTTGCTCAAATCCCACAGTAGCCAATATCACCAGTAAAGGGTGGGAGGGCTAGGGTACCCCTTAGTTCCACTCCAGGAGACCCCTTTGTCCTTGGCTTCTGCAGTGAGGAAGACTACGAGGGAAGTATGTGGAACAGACACTCCCCAGTCTAACAAGGGCATCAAATTTTAGGTCAACACTCATTTTCTTTTAGCATCTTCCCACTTTTATGATTGCTGCTGGTAAGTCGGCTTTTAGATTAATTGTCCTTACTTTGTAGTTAATCTTTCTTTGGTTAATTTCAACATTCTCTTTCCTTTTGATATTCATTGGTTTCACGGCAATGTGTCTGAGAGAGGATTTGTTATTAATGCATCTGCTCAAAAAGAAGTGCCCAAATGTGCTTATTTTTTTTCTCTTCCTCCAATTTTTTCCTTCCTACATCTAAAGATTTAGGTACTTAATAAGTTCTGAAAATTCCCTTTAATTCAGAGTTAATTCTGAATCTCGGTGTTCCCTTCCTCTTCATGTTTCCCTGTCCCAGAGTTGTTAGGTATATTTTGAAATTTCTCATCTGACTCCAGGTCTCTTAACCTTTACAATTCTATTTCCATGTACTTTATTCCTATTTTCTATTTCTATCTCTCATATTCTCTTGAAGTTTATTCATTCTTTCTTGACTGATTCTTATCTGCTATTTTAGCTCATAGAATTTCTATTTCTTTCTTTCTTTTTTTTTTATTAGTGAAACACCATGAAGTACACTTATAGACTTATAAATTTTTGTGCTTGGGTTTCAGTTATACAATGATCAAGTACCCATCCCTCCACCAGTGCCCATCCCCCACCACGGGTCCTAGCATCCCTCCCACCCCCCATCCCCCCCACCTCCGTCCCACCCTGCCGCTGTGGCAGGGCATTCCTCCCTGTTCTCTCTCTCTTCTTTTGGGTACTGTGTTTTGCCAGAGAGGCATTGAGTGGCAATCATGTTTGGTCTATAGACCACTTTTAGCATGTCTCTCCCACCCTGGGAGGGTCTTCACAACACCCTTTATTTGGTGCTCTCTTCTCTATCTGAGCTTCCTTCTCACCTAACACATGTGGCTGGCCTTCAAGTCATGGAGCAAAATTCCTGGTACTAATCTGAGCCCTTCCTGGGTGTTAGTCTCCCGTTTTGTTTATTTTGACTGTCTCTTCTTTTTTCATAGGATCTTGTTCTTTGCTCTTGCTTTAACTCTTTCGTTTTAGTCTCTATAGTCTATAATTTCCTGGAGCCTTACGCTGCTGTTGCTTGCACCTATAGCTCTGAATGAGAAAATTGCTTTCTGTGTGCTTGTAAATCAGGATTATGAATTTCTATTGGTGAAATTCTTCCGGTGAATATTCTGTATGACCTAGTTTGAAATTACGTACTCTTCTATGAGGGGCTTTATAATTTCTTCCATCAGAAATCCTTATTTTCTGTTATTTGTTTGCTTGGGGAAGAACAAACCATAGGTAAATGTTCATCTAAATTCCAAATACAACACTGAGCTGGGTCTGAGTTTTCAGAAACAAATTCTTCTCTCTGTGTTCATTACAACCAAACTTTGGACTAAAAGTCAAATTTCCTTGCCACTTTTCTTATTAGTTGAATATTTTCTTTCAGCCCCCAGATTAACTTCCAAGGTTCCTATCTATGTGTAGGGGAAGGGAAATCTTATTTCCAATTCCTCACCTTATGTGGATGAAACTTTTCGCTCATTCAAGCCCCTAGTAATAAGATTGACCCCCCTTTCCATCTAGACCACAACTGATAGGCTTCACAAGCTAAATATTATTCCTTTCCTTTTAAACTTTCTTGCCAAGTCAGCTTTAAAATTAGATGAATATTTGAATTATTTTTTGCTTTTGGGTCACACCCGGCAATGCACAGAAGTTACTCCTAGCTCTGCACTCAGGAATTACTCCTGGCGGTGCTCAGGGGACCATATGGGATGCTGGGAATCGAACCCGGGTTGGCTGCGTGCAAGGCAAACTTTCTAAGTATATGTAGTGGGATGTGTTCAGGTTGTCTCACCTATTGTGTTATCTAGAATGCTAAAGTCATTTTCAATTTGATCCTCACAATTGCAGGACAAATGCCATACAGTCACAGAGTCTAAGAAATCCTTTCCAATTGGAATATCAAGAATTCCCTCTCCATCCCTTCCAAATCAGACTGCTAAAGGGTACACTTCCACGGCAGAGAAAGATGTCCGTCCAAAGACCAGAAATAGCAAGAAATTTCCTCCTCTTTCTGAAAAGTCAACAAAGAAAACTCCAAGAGGCAGAGATAAAACTAAGGGTCTGCCTTTGCAATTTGAGCACACACTCAGGATCACCTCTCCTGTAGAAGATGAAGCAGCCTATGATATTCTGAGGGGTTGTTCTCAGTGTGGAATACTACTTCCCCTGCCGACCCTAAATCAACATCAGGTACTAAGGTTTCTTCTTTCCAGGTTGTGAAGCATCTAGACTGTGTCTAAAGAAATCCAAGATCAACAGGATGTTCACTTAAATAGATCTTTCTCTTCCTATTCCTTTTCTGTGTGCCTAAATGAACTCTTTCTCACTTCCTGTCTACTGCTTGCATGGCTTTGGAGATTGCACCACCTTTGAAGGAGAGCCAGATCTTTCATCTCTGTTCCTCCAACTCCTAGCCCAGTGACAGACATACAGAAAAATGCTCCAAAATTATTGAGCAAATGAATGAAGCAGAGGGTGTGAAGTCTAACTCTCTTACAGTATACAAAAATCAGCTGAGCGGTCCAGAAATCAGAATTGTGGGGTGCCGAAGAGACAGTACAGCAGGTCAGTGCTTGCCTTGCACACAGATGACCTGAGTTTGATCCCTGGTATCCCGTGTAATCTCCTGAGCACTGCCAGATTTGATTTTTGCGTATAGAGTGGGAGTAAACCCTGAGAATCACCAGGTGTGGCCCAAAACCAAACCAAACAAAAAATTAGAATTGTGGTCACAATCCTAAATCCACTGGAGACTGGCCCCAGCAGATTAGGATTTGCAGCCATTGTCCTCTATAGCCAAGATTATTTACTTTAATAATAAGCAGTTACATAAAAGGTAGTTAACCCATTAACCCTTAGGTACCAGTTAAAATGTGCTATGCTTTTCAAATTGTAAATCTTCGTTATGAACCAGAGGGAGCTATTTTGCCCCTGTTTTTACAGATGAGGAAACTAGACAGATAAATAACTTCCTTGTGTAATCACTGGGTTATATCATTGCAGAGTGGCAAAATCTCTTCTGGGGTCCTTATATGCCTAAGTAATTCTAAAATATATGTTTTTAAGCTCCAGCCTGATGCCTCACTTTAAAGAAAAACAAGAGAGATAACACAGGGAGGCACACACAAGATGCCAGTTCGATCTCCAGTACCACAGGGTTATGAAATACCAGCAGATATGGCCCTGGTGACTCTGCAGTCCCCCAGAACTGGAGGCCCCAGAGCACAACCACATCCTCAAGCTCTAGCATTCACCATATGGCCTGGTGAGCCGAGTATACTAAGAAGTGACCTGAGTCCCCAAGTCCCCTGAGTACTATTGGGGACCCTCACCACTCCACTCCATCCTTCACTGATGTTTGTCAAAACACAGATCTTAGATTTTGTTGTGACCAATGACAAAATACAAAAAAAAAAAGTAAAACTGACCCTCTCTCCCACCTCCTGTGCCAGTGTTAGCAGCTAGGGTGGGGGCAGTGGTGTCCTTTCATAGATTTGCCTTTGCTGTAACCAAATGAGCAAGTATAGAAAAGGGTTGGAGTTTTTGTTTCCCCCATATATCTTTTGATTCTCATCTACTCTGCCTTTGCCTTCTTCCAATTAATATATGATGGACACTCCTTAACAAAAGGAAGACAAAAGTCTTGTTATTTTCTAATTTCTTTAGGCATCTCCATACGCATGTAAATATTAATTTAAAAAGATAGGTAAACCTCAAGTTGATCATTGCCATCTCTCTTGGCCTCCCAGAGTTTCCTTCCCTCCCTGTTACACTGTCCTTATTCCTTATTTAATAGGGTTGACAGATTTAACAAGGTGAAATACATGGGACAAAATAAGCCAAAAAATTACTTGGAACATACTTATATTTAAAAAATATTTTTGTTTCTCTCAGTTCCTCCACCCCTCTCGGAGAGCCCCGCAAGCTACCGAGAGTATCTCGCCTGCACAGCAAAACCTGTCAAACTACCCGTGATGTATTCAATATGCCAAACACAGTAACGACAAGTCTCAAAATGGAGACATTACTGGGCCCACTCGAGCAAATTGATGAACAATGGGAGGACAGTGTTTATTTGACAGTTTTGTTTCTCTGAGATTAACTGTACACCTTGTATTTTATCTGTCAACCCTTTTATGTATTTATATGTTTGGGGTTCAATTTTACAACTTTGTATCTTAGTGTTATTATTATAGCAATACTCAAGGACATCCCTCTACATAGAAACAGTGGCTTTTTTAAATACAACCAACAGACAATATACTAACCAACAAAAAATTGAAAGCTTTCCCTTTAAGATCATGTATAAGGCAAGTGTCTCCACTTGGTTAGAGCCAGAGAGTACAGAGGTTAAGGTGCTTTGCCTTGCAAACGTCTGATTTGGGTTTGTACCACTGAGCACTGAGTATGGCTTAAACCCCCTCCCCAGAGAAAAATACAAGAAAACTTTTGACTGCTCTGATTTACTGATATTTTCTTCATTGTCAGTGTATCACTGTCAACCCGTTGTTCATCAGTTTACTCAAGCAGGTGCCAGTAATGTCTCTATTTGTTTAAGCACTGAGATTTTAGCAGCGGGTCCTTACTCGTCTTTCCCAACACTGCCATACTGGAGGCTCTTTCAGGGCTAGGGGAATAAGACACGTTATTGTTATTGTTTTTGGCATATCAAATATGGCACGGGCAGGTTGCCAGGCTCTGCCGTGAGGGCGGGATACTCTCGGCAGCTTTCCAGGCTCTTCTATATATATATGTATATATATCACATGTAGATCCTGAAAATACCTAAAATTGACTTCAGTGTGCTGTGCGCAAAGACCATAGTATTTTTTTTCTCTTTATTTTATTTTATTTTTTTTTACAGTTGTAGATTTACAATTTTTTGTGCTTTGGTTTCAATTATACAATGATCAGATACCCATCCCTCCACCAGTGCCCATTTTCCACCACCATGGATAATATCCCTCCCACCCCCATCCCCCCATCCCCCCTGTCTCTGTGGCAGGGCAATCCCCTGTGTTCTCTCTCTCCTTTTGGGTGTTGTAGACCATAGTATTTTTAAAAATTCCCTCCCCCAACCGCTTTCCTGTCATTGTTGTTGTTGTTGTTGTTGTTGTTGTTGTTTCAAAGGTCAGGTTTGCGCACAGTCCCGAATGTGGTGCTGGCACATTTTTAGTGGTGGTGTTTGCTGGGGATCTCACATCAGGTGGTATACTCACCAGGATTTGCACCCCCTTAGCTGTGGGGCCTGCAGAAGTGTTCACAGGGGATCACTCTCTAGTTGAGGACATGAACAGTGCTTGTGGTGTTTACCAGGGACCCTGCATTGCTCACACGTGTGCTCACTGGGAGTGCAGCTCCTGGCCATAGTACTCACATAAGTGGGAGCTACTTTTGTGATGCTCACACAACTGGCTATGGTAGGTGCAGAGATTTTTCCATAGCTAGGGACCTCGGACAGCAGAGCTGCCAGAATTGCCCATGGCACATGTAGGACACCAGGAATTTGAACTCATGGCCATATAACTTGCAAGCACTGAACTATTCCTCTGAGCAGTCTTTTTAGTTTTTAGTAGCTTTTTAATAGCTACTTTAGAAGCTACTTTTTAATAGCTACCGAACAATCTAGTATTCTCTTATCTGCCAAGCCTCTAGGCCTCTAAGTAAACACTTTTCACAGCCATTATCTCTGCTGGCCCTCCCCTCCCCACTCTTCCCTCCCCATCCCACTATACAATTAATAGTTGTGATCAGAGAATTGGAAGGGGGAGTTCCTAGACACAGCCCAGAAATTGGCACTTCCTGCTATAAAACCTTTTAAGACTTTGTTTTATTCATTTCTTTAGGAAAAATGCTGGTGGTTAGCGTCATTAAAAGAAAAGCAAGTGAGAAATTCCAGCTATATTTGGCAAAGAAAAGGTACTACAAATTGAGATTTCATTTCATATGCGGGCCTCTTTCTGCCATGGTCCTTATTTCTGAAGAGCCGGTTTTATCAGTTGGGTTTTTTTTTTTCCTTGTAAAAGAAAAGCCATGAATTTTAACCATTTTTAATTTCTTTTGAACACAGACACTGATTTATTCAACAATTACAGATAAACCACCAACAAAAAGCCTCTCTCCAGCAACTCTGCCTGAAAGTCCTTCCCAAGCCTCTGCCCCAGGCGACCTGGATGTTCTGGGGTGGGGGTGGTGGGGTGGAGGGGGCTGGGCGGGGCAGGGAGGGGCAGCTTTCTCTGCGAGCAATAAAACTCCCCTTCCTGGAAGCGTCTCCTGCTCCTCTTTTCTTGGGTTTCCTGGGCAAGGAAGGCGGAGTGATGTAGTAGACAGGAACACAGTAGCAGAAAGGGGGGAAGGTTGGAGAGGATAAATAAAGTTGGAGAGTAGTCTGGAGCCGGTGAAACAGAAAAAGGTGCCCCAGAGACCAGGTAAGAAACGCCTTGAAATGCAGCCTAGCCCCGAAGCAAGCATGCACCGGGAATCCGTTTGTGCGCGACGTGTGTGTGTGTGTGTGTGTGTGTGTGTGTGTGTGTGTGTGTGTGTGTGTTTTGGGGGGCGGGGGGTCGGTCCTCTGTGGAGGTGGAAAGGGCAAAGAGCGGGAGTGTGCCGTGGCTCCCTGCTCTGGAAGCCAGGAAAGGGGAAGATGCCCCGGCTTGTCGGGTTTTCCTGGGTTTCCTGCGGGAGGGCGGGCGGTGTCACAGGAGCCACAGTGGAAGCTGAGGCTGTGAGCAGCAGCGGCTGCACAAGGCAAGCGCACTCGCCTCCACGGGGACCCCGGGCCGGTCCAGCTCAAGAAACGACACGAACTGGGCGGACTGAGCTCCAGATTCTGGGCAGCGAGCGGCCCGTCCCAGCCGGGGCGCAGGGAGCCTCCTGCTTCGGGTGCTCGCGCTTGGCGCGGGGCGTTGGCTTCGCCCTCCACGCGCCGCCCTTTGCCCCGGCCAGCGCAGGTTTGGGCCTCCAGCCCCCCCCCCCCCCACACACACACACCCCGTGAGCCCGTGCAGGGCCCGAGGGGGCGGCGCGTCACAAAGGGGGTCCGCTGTTGGGCACTCAGCGGCGCGCGATCCCTGGAGGCGGCGGTTGGCGTCGAGCAGAGTCGGCGGCGCAGGAGCACTCGCGGTCTCTGCAGCCCGAGCGGGCGCGGCCCTTGGGGCGCTGCCCAAGTTGGGCCCAGCCCGAGCGAAGGGGCACGGTGGGCGGGAACAGGCGGCGCGGACCGGGTGACGGGGATGCCCCAGGCCGCCCGCCACAGGTGAGTCGGTTGCGGGAGCTGCGCGGCCGCCGCCCTGCGCCGTCGGGGTCGCCTTCCGCAGCCTCTGTGACCCGCCCGCAAGTGCGACTTGGGCGTCGCGACTGCGGGTTCGCTCCCGGCCGCCCGCTCACCACCCTGCTCTCTCTCACTGGGATTTCTTAGCCTCCAGCTCCCCTGTGTTCCCAGCTGTGGGTGCGGCAGGAGCACCTTGGCAAAGATCTGCTGGTAGCAGCAAGCCCTTGCACGGCGCTGATGGCGAGCCAGGCGCTTTCCGATGCCAGGTCACCGAGCCCTTCCCAAGCCAGGAGGCGCTTTTCCCTTCTGCCCCCAGAGGCCGGCGTGCAAAGGAACGGACTGACTTGCCGAAGGAGAGAGGGCTCAGGGGTTAAAGCCCCCCTCCCCAGTTTGTCCCTATCTGTAATACAGAATCCAGACTTTTTTTAGAAATGATACTACCCCATCTAGAGAAGCTTTTCTCAACCAGGGGGCCATATGGCCCCTTAAGGATCCCAAGGGATCCCAAGGAGGAGAGGGTTGGGAGTGACGGGAGGGTGCCGCTGGGAGCAGGAGCAGGAGCTGTTACATCTCATGAGTGGCGGGGCCAGAGACTACTGGCCGCTGGTAGGGAGGGCCACACGAGGAGACAGGGTTGGAAGGGAGTCGCAGGGAAAACATTAGGAGACTCATCTTAGTACGGCTGCACTCTGTGTACGTTTTATTGGAGGGAGGTCTTGAGGCCACACCCATGGGTGCCCAGGGCTATTCTTGGCTCTGACCTCAGGAGTGACCTCTGGTGGTGCTCAGGGGAATATATTCTAAAGGAACGTCCACCTTGCTCTCTCCCTCTGACCCTCTGGTGTGTAATCTTGTATGTGTGGGGGGCCTCTTGAACAGTGCTCAGCAAGCCCCAGGCACCCTTTTAATTAGACTGGTTCAATGCTAGAGTCTGAGTTTGTGGTACTGTTGGGACTTGGGGTGCTAGGAATTGAAGTGAGGTTGGCTGTATGCAAGGCAAGCACCTTAACTCCACAGGGTCGGTCTCTCTCTCTCTCTCTCTCTCTCTCTCTCTCTCTCTCTCTCTCTCTCCCCCTCTCTCCCTCTCTCCCTCTCTCTCCCTGCTGGGGACCCCCAGCCTGAAAAGGGATAAATTAGCAAGGGATAGAATATATACAAAATGTCAAAAGAGGGAGGTTTTTGGACTGGTTATTTCTTAGTCAAAATGCACCCAGATTGTAACATTATTTGGTCAAGTCTGGGGCTTGTCTTGGCAATTGGAAAATATCATGGCACAGTGGGTGTGATTTTCATCATGTCAGTGTTTTCACCTTTTGCTTCCCAGCATTTGTAACTCATTAACTTCACTGGCAGAGATATACCACACTTCCCAGCTTTGTGTGAGTTTGCAAGAAAAAACCTGATCAAAGATGGAAGTTAAGGGTAGAGGGTATTGTTGGTATACAAAAGGGCAGGGTACAACAGTTATTGTCTTTGTAGAAGCACATTAATGTTTATATTTAAGGAAATAACAGAATGTGGTCATTGTTAAGCTTTGTAGTGTCTAAGTAAAGAACATTTTTCCATAAAAGGCATTGTTCTCTGTGTCCTTCCCCACCTAGTCCACTGTATACCATAACTTCCAATAGCCATACTCCTGACTCCAGTAGATTCTGGTGAGAGGAAAGGTGGAAGAGAACAGGCTGGATATGGGGGTCACTTGGGGAACTCCATGTGCTGGGTGGGAGTGGTCTGTGCCCAATCCCAAGTGGTTCTGAAGAGGTGAGACAGCTGAAGGCAGATGCTGAATTGTTCTCCAGATGATGATGGGCTGGGGAAGATCTTAAGTAGAGCCCCACCACCACCACCACCACAGGAACTCTTGTGAGATATTCACAGCCACTGTGATTTGCGGGAATCTGGAGGAGACCCGGGTATCCATCACAGGGAAAGTGGCTAGGAGAAAGGTGGGGTTACCTATCTGTTTCTGCTCAGAAAATAGACATGGTGGGTGAGGCATGTATACTGTAGCTGAATGATGCTCACAAACATTAAACGCACATTTGGCAAGCACACACCACACACACGTATGTACATGCACAGATACATGCACATACATACATGCATATGCACACGTGCACACCCAAAGCAAGATGCACATTGGATATGCTGAAATAGTTATAGGGGTACAATGGAGTTAAAAGGGAATAAATGCGTAAGTAATGCTAAAGAGAGGTCTGACTGTAGAAAATGAAGCTGACAGATAAAGTGAATATGTCCTCCTAGTCTAGGCCTGCCACCTGTGGTGGTAGACTTTCCTGTCCCTTGAGGCCCAAGGTGAGTTTTTCTTTTTTCTTTTTTTTCTTTTTTTTATTAGTGAGACACCATGAGATACAGTTGTAGACTTACAAATTTTGTACTTGGGTTTCAATTATACAATGATCAAATACCCATCCCCCCACCAGTGCCCATTTCCCACACCACAGATCCCAGTATCCCTCCCACCCCCCATTCCCCGCATCCCACCCTGCCTCTGTGGCAGGGCATTCCCCTCTGTTCTCTCTCCTTTTGGGTGTTGTGGTTCGCAGAAGAGGCATTGAGTGGCAATCATGTTTGGTCTATAGTCTACTTTCAGCATGCTTCTCCCATCCTGGGAGGATCCTCCCAACACCCTTTATTTGCTGCTCCCTTCTCTATCTGAGCTCCCTTTTCCCCTAGCATGTGTGGCTGGCCTCCCCAAGGTGAGTTTTTCACCTTAGCTGAGTTTCTCTTTGTTGTTCTGTTGCTTTACCTTTAGCTCAAGGCAGACAGCAGTTTTATCATCCAGAGAAGGCGTAGCCTTCTCAGAATGTCATAGTCTTAGAGGCAAGGGCCATCTTCCCTGCCCTTAATCTGAAGCCCCTCCATAACCTACCACTCCCTGCCCCTTACAAATTCATCTCCTTACAAGTTCTGTGAATGTGAGCACAGCAAGTGGATATCATTCAGGAGCCCAGAATGTGTGGGTCCTGCACTGGTCCCATTCTGCCAACATGCAACTCTGCACACCCTCCTCTGAGGAACTGTTGACTTGCTTCTGACCCAGACAGAATTAACCACCCACTGTTTGCACCACCCTACTGTGTAATCACAAAATAAATAAGTGAGCGACAGTGGTGGTGTGGTCTCTCTTGCCCGCCAAGTGCATTTGGTGGCCATGAGCCGCTTCCCCACCTTGGCCTGCAGCCACCGCCAACAGATGCAGGAAGGAGGAAACAGGGCCGCCAAGCTGGTTGATGACCAGTTGCCGTTTATTCTATGCTCCCCATGCGCCTGTTCTAGTCTCACTAAGTGCCCCATTCCAGTCTCACACTGCCCTCATATCCGTCTCCTCCTAACCCCCATGCTAGTCTCTCTGTGCTCTGTCTCGAAGCCTTTGTCTCAAGCAGAACCTCCAAGCATGGGGGTAGCAACTACACGTAGGTGAGGTAGCACAATCAACATATGAAAGACCTTCCTTCGGAGGGAATCTCTTCTAAGATAAGACAAAGATCTCCTGCAGCCAGGAGATCCATTAACGGGCAAAATACCACCTAGGGGTGTGTTTCTCCTTTCCTTAGTCCAACAACCATTTAAACATTCATTTTTAATTCTTCTTCTTAAAAATATTAGTCATTTTGTATGGACACAGTAAGAGATACATTAAGTTTGTAGGGTGGCTCTCCTGGGAACATCTCCCTATAGATCCCAGACTACAGTGCTCAGGCCAGATTAGTCTTTCCTACCCTAACAGGGTCCTAATCCAGTTTTTTTCTCTTTGGACCATGACAGAATTTGTCCATAACTGTGCTCTTAACTTATAGTTAAGTATTAAATATGGTGCTCGGCCTGGCCCATTTCAATACCAGGGTAGCTCACAGCTTGCCCTGGGTCCATCCAGTTCCTTG